AAAGAAAAAGAGAAATATAAATCATTGGAATATTTGGGGAAAAGAGGGATTTTTGTATCCTTATGAAGATACATTATAAGAATGCGTATGCTTCATAATTAAACAAGCTCTAATTTTTTTGTACATAAGATGCTTAATGTTATTTTTATATTCTTAAAATACAGATAATTATTTAAAGAAAATTGTCCCTTATGTTATTGTCCCTTTAATGATACAACTATTTTTGAGAAACTAAACTGTGGTAATGGTTGGTTATAAACTACATATTAAAGCCTTAATATTGTTTTGTTACTATTTTACTTTAATTAGAAGAAACAAATATAATATATTTAAATACAGGAGACTTTATGAATCCTTTTAATAACGGTATAACAATTTTTTTCAAGTAATATGATATTTAGTGATATAATTGTAATTTAAGGGATATATATTGTAAGAGACTTATAAAATTTAAGAAATAGTAATTATTTATAATCATTTTTTATTTAAATGAATAAAATGGCAATCTGAAATAAAATAAAAATATATAAGAAAGATTACGAAATCCTGTGTTATGGAAGCGTATTCCAGAATTTGAAGAAAGTTTGATAAATATTAAACAAATGTAATTTAAAAATACGAAGCAAAGATGTCTTTATAAATCAAATGAAAAAAATTCTTTTTTTTTCCTTCTAAATTATAAGTAGAAGGGTCATTGAAACTAAATATAATAAAAATTGTGAGTGAGTAATACTTCTGTGATTTGGAGAACAAAAAAACAATATCAACAACTGATGATGTGTTCCTTAATCTAACCATTCAAAAGAAAAATTTATCGATTAATGAATACAAAGGAAAACATTTCTCATTAGTTGGCACAAGTTGTTGAACATAATATGAATATTAGTTAATATACACAAAATTATTTTCTCATCGCAATTATTTTTCAGGAAACTTAAAAAATCATGTACCTAATAGCATTTGAAATTTTAACATTTGTTATATATATATGTATATATATATATATATAACAAAGTGATTTTAATGATGTTATTCCTTTGATCAAAATGATGTTATTCCTTTTTTTTGTGTTGTTACTTGTAATGTTGTATTTTTTCTGTCGGGCTGTTGCCACTGACATCTGTGATTTTAAATTTCTGTGATTTTATATAATTTCTGATGTTTTATGTGTGTATAATATATGTTTTATGAATCTACACTCGTATGCCCTTAAAAAGGGCAGGTCGAGTTATAAATAAACAATATATATATGTATGTATGTATATATATAATATATGAACTAAATTTTTCTTACATAAACACTTTTATGATATACGCACTTACAAAAAAAAAATTTTTATAATATAAATTTACGATACAATATTGTAAATAAAATAATATTTATTTTTCTAAAATATAATTTTTTAAAATGAAGCTATACATAATTTAATAGTAAATTGCTATAACATCTATAGCAGAGCTATATATAGTATAATAATTTACTGAGCATAGTCAATTTTCTTGTGTGTAATAAAAGCGTTAAAATTAGGAAAGTTTGTTCACACACTGCATAAGTATAACTCCCGCTACTTCCTATTATTTTACTAACCTATCATTCTAATATTATACTATTATATGCTACCTTACCAAGTGAAGTTATTATAGAGAGGGTGTAGCATAATATGGTTGCCTCGACAAACTGCAGAAATTACTTAAAAAGCTTGACATACAGTTGAACTTAGAGGGACAAATGATTTGAAGCATCAAATTGTTGGCACCGCTTGTTCTTTTTTCAAATTCAGAACACGGTTTTTTTAAAAATTAGATAGAAGAAAATCTTCTTTTTCTATTCACAATAAGGTAAGGTTTATAAAATATAAGTGTGTTAATAATAAAAGTAGTATATGCACATATACATTACATTTATTCAGTGCCTAATTCAGGGTTGCCACAAAAAAATGAACAAAATAGTTGCTTTTAGTAGCCTGAAAATAGCAGCCAAAAACTAGGAAAATAGTTGCCTAATAAGAACAAAAATTCATCAAAAATATGACTGAAATTTTGTTAATGTCTTGTCATATACCATGATCCATTCAGTCAAGTTGGTGGTAAATATGATAATTTTCATATAAATGTTTATATATATATATATGAAAAATGATTACAAAAATTCGAAATTCATGCATTGTCATTCCGTTAAAAAATTGTTTGTTTTTTTTTAAAAATAAAAAAAATTATGCAGAATTTTGTAGCATTGAAAAGGTGATCGAGAAACGAAACAGACAATGGAATTTGTGCAGATTGAAAGAATTAAAAAGTGAAGACTCAAATTTGCAATTCAAGATTTTTTTATTTTTTAAGAAAAAAAAGTTCAGTGTGTTCTGGAACTATCTAGCGGGGGGCAGAATTTTCACTAATTTATGCTTGAAAAAAAAACATCTCTAGGAGTACAGAAAAGTCTCCCAATAGTCTCCTTTTCTTGAAAATAGTTGCTTTTTTAGCCTTTTCAGGCAAAAAAAAGTTGCCATAGTCGCCTCATGCCAAAAATAGTTGCCTGTGGCAACCCTGCTAATTTTGTCTGTCACAGTTTCCAAAAATAAACAGAAAATAAAAACTAAAATAAAAGAAATAATTAATTATAATATCTTGCTTTTGTTCAAAATAATTAAGGCATAAATTAGAAAATTGTTGCTCATTTACAGCTTATATATAAATGTCCCATATTTCCCCTTAATATGAAACTCAAACAGATATTATAACATACTACGTGAAATATAAGATGGACCGCTGAAATGACTTAATAAGTTGGAATTGCATTCGACAACCGAGTGGCCGTAGTACGTGATGTAGTACGAAGCACCATATTGCTAATCCTGCAGTGCGTGATTCAATTTCCGGTGCTGTCAACCATAGTAAGTTCTATTTCAGAACAAAAAAAAAATTATTTTTTATATGGTAATCTAATTGCAATATTACGTTTTTTAATTACGTATATTTAAAATAGAATCGTATGATTATAGAAAAATATTGCTCATGTTCTGAATATATATAATACCCCATATCTCCCTTTAATATTTACTTTGTAATTTTATGTTAATCTTTTATTTGCTTGTAAACAGCTTCATTATATTCTGTCTTTGATTTTCACTAAACTGCTTCAAAATCTTTAATACCCTTTCAATTCTGTTCAAACTAGCCATTATTAGAGGGCCTTTCATTACTAAGTATCCTCTATAATGGTAATGCATGAAAAACATACATTTTTGTTTGTTAAGGTCTCTTAGATATGCTTTATTTTAACATTGCCTGAATGGGGGGGGGAAAATCCCTATCAATATCTGCACTATAGCGAGAAACTGACTAACCCATTTGATATTTGACTGGCCAACAGCAACTTCAAATACTGCACCATTTTTAATATGATTTCAATTAAGAAAAGATCTAGTTCAACATTTTAACTGGAACCAAGCACTTGCTTTGATGGCACCATTTTAGGGCAAAAACTGAACTATTTTTTAAATTTTTGCAAGTTTTTAAAAATTAAATATTATGTGAAAAGATATTTTATAATTTTTATAATTGACTAATTTTTTTAAAAAGTGAACAAATAGTTATATTTTAGCCTTTTTAAGTAACCTTTCTCAGTCAAAAGTGACTTTAATAACTGACGGAGAGAAAAAAAAGACTTATAGGGGAAATAGTGAATGGGTAGGAGCTCTGCACCATATAGCAAAAAGTCAAAGACTGTCATCTGGTAGTGAAGCTAAAGACACTATAGCATTATTCACTTGGTGAAGTACCTTTTTCGTAGGACGGGGCAAGTTTTGGTCTAAATTAAAAGATTACTTAAAATATACTCTAAATGTATGTGTGTATATATAGCCATATTTTCACATGCAACCAGTTTTAAATGGCATAAAAAGTATGATAAAGATCTATAAAGCATGTGCCACATTAACTAAAAGATCTTATTTACGTCGCACTACAGGTGCACAATGGGTTATTGGCGATGGTCAGGGAAAGATCCCCGAGGATGATCTGTAGATATGCCATATA